CCACTAGCTAACAGCCGTCCACCTTTCATTTTCCAAAAACCTCATCAAAAACCACTGTGAGACGAGAAATTACTAATTGAATGACTAAAAGAGCGCAACTTTTTATGCTGTCACAACGTTTTGCCTTGAACAATGAAAAATAATTAGGGTATTGTATATGATCTTCTTGAAAATAATAGAAAAAACTTAGTTTTTCTCATTTTTTTTCTAATTAAAGCAACAGAGCCTTTAGCAGCTTAAACGATGAAGCATGTCAAGTACGTGCGTCTCAGAGATAAAAGTGTTTACTAAACAAAAGCCAAACAAAATTGAATTCGCCATTATGACCAACTGCCACATGATTACTGTATTCCCGATAAGACAATCCGGTGTGGAACAAGTAAAGTATTGTGATCAGCATGTCAGGTGACCATGATACACAATTGTCTAGACAGATTTGTGATTTAGATCTCCTACCATCCACATACCGTAATGCTACAGTAGAGCCTCATAGTGCAAAACGGATCAGTTTATGACTTTATGACATTCTTAGACAATAAGTCTTGTAATTTCAAAATTTGAGATCCGCTGAAACTTTGGTTGTGGGTTAGTTTGACATGCAAATAAACGATACTCATCCCAGCAGAGCTTTACGATAGGATCATATTAGGAGGGCAAAATAAAATTTTAGCGCTATGAATTTTCAGTTGGTGAAGCTTGTATAGTGATATTCCTAGAAATTACTGTATGACTCTTTGCAGCTGAGGAACGACGATGTCTGAATGAAAGGGTTATTCTTTTTTCTGTTTCGAAGTTTTTGGTACAACAGTAGAGTAACTGCTGATTCATAGTAGCTTACTCCTATGGAAACCTCATCAACTTGAGAGGGTTATGCAAATTGTGGCAGTCCAGAATTCTGCCGGTTCTCATAAAAATCTCCAAACAAACATTAAATAAACAAATGATTGAGCAACTGCCACATCTGGAAACCTCAATTTCGTTGTGACGTTAAGCCAAAGTTGGATGCTGAACCATTCATAATGGCTGAATTTGCTTGTTTAGGAAACGCTATTAAATCGTTTTTACTATTATATCAGGCCTTTTCTACAATTCTCTCAGCATCCGTGTGTTCAC